ACAGTTGTCTTCATTTTGAGAAATTGTACTCGAGAGGAAGAGCTTGCACTTCCAACTCCAGTGGAAAGTATCCCACTGTCAGAAGTTCCTCTAGGACCCAGAGCTGGCTTGTCTCAGCCTCCCAAGGCTCAATACTACCCTAGCAATTGCTCAGTCCCTTCAGATTTGAAGGCTAATCAGCTTCTTCCTTTCTTCTTGCCTGGAATTTAAAGGATTTAGGGGTTTTGATGTACACTTTTGCATTTTCATCTTTTTAAATATTATACTAATCCACTTCTGATGTAACTGATATTCTAGATGCATCAGTGGAGTCTCTTACATTGTTCCTGTCTTTGATAATGAAGTTTCTTACAAAGAATCTTATTGTTGGAACACATCCTCTTGAGCAGAATATTTGCAGCTAGTGATTCGTTGCCATTTGCTAATCATAGGCATTTTCCTTCTTGTCAGGACCAATACTCATTACTTGAAGTCATGGGATTGACAAAGATGTTTGACTTTGGACATTAGGGAACTGTCCTGTAAAAGCAATGCAGAAGTAAGAAAAAAATTGTTACCTGAGGCTTAAAATAATAATTTCCCAAATAAGCAAATATTACAGGCTAGAAGCTGAATGGTTCCAGCTTTGGTTTTAACATCATTACTCGAATTCAAGAATAACACATAGAAAAAAGCTTGGTGTCATGGAACTGCCCACAAATTGTATTGTCAGTGGCAAATCATCAGTAAGTGAATCCTGCCTTCAACCCAGCTTTCATCCATGACTTAAAAGTGAAATGGATTGAGATGCTAAAGCTATTTCAAGCCAATAAAAGTAACATTTCAGTATTATACAGGTATGGAAAGATAATAGTTAACGAAGTTTTTCTTCCAGTCATTCTTCATGGGTTTCTCTGTTCCCAGCCTTGTCTAGTGATGGCAAAAACATTATACGTTTGTGAGTAGTTAATACAGTACTACCAGCTATCTGCTCACACCCCCCATGACCTGCCCTCTCTGGCCAGGCCCCACCTCCACGCACATGAGACTTAAATGATAATGCATGTATGTGAATGGCTATATGAGTTTTTTTAAGAACCAAGTCAAAGACAGTGTGTAAGATCTCCTGCTGTGTTCTTTACATCAGGGCCTTATAGTTGTAGGCAAATCCTGACAGCAGATGTGCAAAGTGGAATCGATGATCCTTTCTCCATGTATTGGGAGATAACAGTGTCTCACCAAATGGTGAATCAGGAGGTCATGCAGGCCTCACCTTTCAGAGCTAGGAGCCTAGCTTCTTCCCTGTTTCACCGTGACGGCATGTCCCCCATCCACCCTGACTGAGGACCATGCCACATTTCTCTCCATTTTGAGTTACGCAGTGTCATGGGAGTGCAGTCATCATATTGTCTTGATGAGCTTGAAGAGTCTGGTTTCCCACTGTAAGAGTGTGGTGATTGGCATGTATCGTGAGCATTTCTAAAATACGTCAGCAAAGCCAAGAAAGTTAAATGTTGTTACTTATAATCTGCTTTTAAACAGGTGTGTGCCACAGTACAATGAGAGGCATTTTTAAAGCACTGATTAATATTCATTTGAAAACTGGTAATATGTGGGAGGAGGAACTATCTTTCTTATTACCTAACTTCTTTGCCAAAGTAGTTCTTTATATACTGTAGCTTTTTCAAAACAAATTTATTTTGAAGCATAAGTATGGAATATCGGGTAATTTTGAGTAAAAACGGATAAACATGTATACTTAAACATGGGGTATAACTAAGTAGTAAATACATCCCTGGGCTCAAGCCCTAGCACTACAAACAAGAGAATACATCAACCTGATGAGGATATTGGTACCCTCCACCACCCAATGGCTGCCCTGCATGGTGAATACGGTCAGGTAACTGGTCTCATTCTGAATCTTTGCAAAGGGGAATCTGAAGAAGCCATCCCCATCTTTCTGCTTGTGGCGCAGGGGGCAGTGGAAAGCAATCATGTTGCCATTTCTTCAAGAAAAAGTTTCAGTGTGTTTTACTTACCTATACCAGAGTCCGTATATTCACAAGCTTTCACTGTAAATTGTGTGCATCATAAAAACAAAGTAATTTCTAAATTGTCTGCATTTTCCAGAGAGGACCCTCCTCAAGTCTGGCATAGAGCCCCAGTGCCCTTCTGGATGTTGTAAGATATGACTTGGTGTCTGTGTACGTGTGAATGTGTATGTGCGTGTGCGCGTGCATGCATGCACAGGCATGCTTTACCTGTGGGCGAGAAAGACTAATTATTAGGCCTGATACATGGCAGAGTTGTAGCTTTTGTTTTCTTTAGATTGCTGCTATAAATGTTTGATTTCAGCAAGTCAAACTTTGGTGCTTACCTATTTTTGCTCTGGCTTATTGCTAGCACAACTCACAACTTGAAAATTATGTATCTCTTTGCCTTTGGCATTAATGCTGTGTTACTCTTGGTTTAGGCTCATAGAGTCTTCTCCTGAGGTCGTTGCCTCAAAGAAAACTATATTCATGGCCCCAAATATAAAAATTAGTTACATTTTTATACAATTTATAGTTTTTAAAACCTAGGAACTTTTCAGGTATGTCATACTACATTTTTTTGTTTGTTTTTTTAATTATTGATTTTGTTTTTTTGAGACCAGTTCTCACTATTAGGACAGGCTGGCCTTAAACTTTCTATGTAGCCCAGGCTGACCTTGAACTCACAGTGATTCTGTTCCCTCAGCCTCCTTTGTGTTAGGATTACAGACATGCACTACCGTGCCTGGTTCTCATTACATCTGTGTGGTAGCACTTTGTCATCCATGGCAGAGGTTATCACCTGGCAGCAGAGGTGCCTCCCACAGGTGGATGGTAGAAGATTTCAGAAAAGACATGGCCAGAGGATGCAGAGCACCTCAGAGCAGCCCCTGCCACAGCTAATAATGGCCAGCAAGTCCTCTCTTAGTTCGTTTTTGGTTTTTTTGTTTTGTGGGGTTTTTTTTGTATTTTAGGGAAGGGTCTACAGAGTGTTCAGGGTCTCACTACTAGATCAGACTTGTAGTGACGCGCCTGTTTAGTCTCCCAAAAGCTGGGATTACAGGCGCGCGCCACCATGCCCAGTCTCAACTGCTGTCTCAGCACTCCCTGGGAGCGGGGCCAGCATAGCAGGCCTGGGTAGTTCATAGTTTTAAAGGAAAGGGAACCATCTCGACTTTCACAATGTGTGATCTCCCAGTTTTTGAAAAAAAGAAAGGGGAGGGGAGGGCTGGGGAGATAGCTCAGTGGAATAAGTGCTTGCCTGGCAAGTGCAAGGTCCTGAGTTCAAGCCCCAGTACCGCCAAAAAAAATTTGAGAACTGCCTCCAATATTTTTAAAGCACTGTACAAGTCCAAACAGAATATCCTTGAACTGGACCCAGTGGTCACTGTTGGTATTCCTGTTCCAGGAAGTAGTGTTTAGAGGCTTTATGTTTTTATTTTTGTCTTATAAAATTGTTAGCTATTCTACATTGCCAGAGAACAAAAAGAACAATTTCAAAATATATAAACTTAAAAAAAAATAGGACATGGAGGCTCACACATACATACATTCTAGGCAAGTGCTCTACCAGTGAGCTGTATCCCCAGCTTTTTTTTTTTTAATTTTTAGGTAGGTTTGCTGGCATGGTGGTACATGCCTAGAATCCCAGTACTTGGGAGGCTGAGGCAAGAGGATTGCTCCAAGTTCAAGACCAACCTTAATTTTTTTTTGAGACAGGGTCTCATGACATTGCCCAGACTGGCCTCAAACTTGCTATCCTTCTACCTCGGCTTCCCAAGGAGCGGGGAATACAGTCAGCACCACCACGTGCAGTGGCTTCTTTTGATACTCAGTTCACATCTGACAGTGATAGTGATAAACCCTTTCCCTTCTGGAATGTTTGGGGGCATATTCCGATTTTGCATTTGGAGATTTGGAGCAGACTGGAAAGTAAGTACACCCCACCTGTTTTCTGGGGACCACAGTACCCTGTTGCCAACAATACTGTTCTCTGGGCTATTGTTGCTGTAGTTAAAGAAATATTACTTCATGGAATACTTAGATTGTAGTAGATAACTATGGTCAAGTCAACTAAATGTGACCCCATTTGATGCAACCCTTGTCCTTAGAACAGGTTGATAGTTACAGGAAAGGTTGACAGCAAATAATGTATTCTTTACAGGTAAGAGACTTGACTAGGACTAGGGAGGAATATTGGAAGAAATCTTTTTTTTTTTTTTTTTTTGGTGAAACCAGGGACTGAACTCAGAACCTTTCTCTTGCCAGGCAAGCACTTATTCCACTGAGCTATCTCCTCTGCCCTGGAAGAAATCTTTAGACATCCCAGAATTAGTATATGTATATTGCCCTTCAAAGAGAAAAGTAGTTGGTATCTCTTAACAATATTTAAGGAGCACAAAGCAAAGCAACAATAGCACCAAACATTTTCTTGGCAGTTAAGCCTAAGGAACAGTGCTAGACTCTTACATTAAGTATATATGAGTTCTAGCATTGACTAGCATTGATAGTAGGAGCTCAGAAAATTGTGAATTGAGTTTTTCCTTTCATGGAGTAGTAATAGTAGCTGCTATTTATTAAATGGCAAGTACTTTGCTAAGCAGTTGTTTTTCTAATCCTACAACAACTATACCAAGGGGGATATCTCCAGTTTAAATGTGAAGAAGCAGAGGCTCAGAGAGGATAAGTAACTTGCACTGCAGTATGCAGGCTGGAAGACTAAAGGTCTGTTTCCTTCCAAAGTTGCACTTAACTGGAGAAGTAGCCACCACAGTGCTCAGGTAGCCAACTGCAGGAACACGCAGTTAGGCCTTACATTTGGACTAACAGGAACGTCTTAGTATTCAGGTCTGCATGTCTGGCTTTGTCATAAACACAGAATTGATGGTGCATTATTTGTTGACTGCATGTTATATGTTTTTCTTACTGCATGTTGAAGAAATAATTTCATGACAAAGGCATTTTGGTAGGGCAAAGCCCTTGTCCACATTTTATTTTTTTATTTATTTTTTTTTTTAAAAACCATACAACCTTTTTATTGTTAAGTCATAAAGAGGTGTCAAAATTAAAAAGCAAAAATTACAGGAGAAGACTTAACAAAACTACTAGGAGCATCAGAGGAAGTGAAAATGGTACTAGGCGCAGGGCAATTATGAACATGGTAGGACACAGGGAGAACCGTGAGCATGTGCTGAAGATACTAGGGGAGAGGATCTGGTGAAATTTTGATCTTAGACAAGCGCCTAGATAAAGAAATAATGGGACAAGACTTCTAAACCAAACTATGTGCTTAAGAGTCATCCTCGCCATTGGCGCTGTCTCTGTCATCCTCTCCTTCCTCAGCCTCTTTTTCATCATCCTTGATCAACTCCAGCGTTTTCACCTGGTCCTCCGCCCGATCTTCATTTTCATCATCATCCAGTAGATCCCCCTCCTCAGCAGAATCATCCGCAGCACCCTCAGATTCCATCTTCACATTAGTCTCATCTTTCTTTTGGGAGGTGGTAGTCTGCTCCTCTTCGGTCTTATCATTCTTCATCTCCACTGCTTGTTTGCTCTGTTCCTTTTCAATTTTTTCTAGGCTTTCCAGTAAAGAATCCACTTTTTGTTTTATCTGGGTCAACTCCTTCTTAATGGCCTGAAGATCATCACCTTTCAACTTTCCAGACTTGGATGAAGATCCACGCTGGCCACTCTTAGAATTGAAGCCACTTTTGCCTCTTCGGGAGGTGTTTCCTGATACACGCTGGCGTTTCGAGGGCACTACAGCCCGAGCAATAGGAGGAGGTGGAGGAACACGTGCTGGGTAACTGTACATCCTGTCATAATAATCACGTTGAAAGTCATAGTCCAAGTCAAAAGAGGAGCCGTACATCTCCGCTGCAGATCGTTTCACACCTGCTTTTCCTCTGTTCACTTTTGGCTCTGCAGCCAGATTAATATCTAAAACCTGGCCAGCAATCATTCTGCCATCCTCTCCAGCTACAGCAGCCCGAGCATTTCTCTCATTAACATACTGGACAAAGGCAAAGCCCTTATGAACGGAGCAACCCACAATTTTGCCATACTTCGAGAAGATGGCCTCCACATCAGATTTCTTCACCACCAGAGTGTTCAGATTCCCAATGAACACACGGGAATTCATGGAGCGAGGATCTGTCTTGTTGGTAACATTGCTAGCCATTGTGTTTGATGATAAAGTTGCTTACAGTGACAAAAACTATAGCTGAAGATCAAAAAAATCTCACAGGAGAGGTGAGAGAAGAGATTCGATTCCGAATCCCCTGCTCCCAGGTTCTACGTGGAGTTGACTGCTGCTCGAGGTCAGCAACGCGGCACCGACCGCTCAGTCTCCGTCTCTTCACAAAATGGCCCACATTTTAAAAAGAAATAATCTTTAGTTACTCTGTTGGTAAGAGTATTTTTGAAAAAAAATTCCCTTTGTTACACTGTAGGTTTTAAAAAGATCTGTAGATAGTGCACATTTTTCTGTCTAAAAAAGCTGAAAGTTAATATTTAATTATATAACCCATGTTTTCCATAAAAAAGTTATATTTTCTGGCTTGTTTGCCATGTATCCTATCATGGATTTAAAAAATCATAAAGGCTACTTTGGACATGAAATTGTCATATAAAAAGATGAGTAATAATCTAAACATCTTTTTTAAAACTACAATGTCAGTATCAACCTTTTAATATCTTATCAAGGATTCAATTCTTGATGAAATTTTATTTTTTTATTTTTTTGGATGATAACAGGATGCCTTAAGGGCAGGACTGGTAAGGAATGAGGATCTGGGGATCCAACCACAGCATCCTGAGCCTGACTGCTTTGTTTAAGCCGGCACTTAAACAACTGAGCGAATGGGCAGGCCCCCTCTTGATGAAGTTTTAAATAGACAACAGTTGCATTTTTATTCAAAAAGGCTTAATCAAGTTAGAGGAAGGTCCAAATTTGTTGTCAGAGTAGTCCTGTTTTCCACCCTAAGTCCTCTACCGACGTCACCAACCAGGCACCCCCAGTGCACTAGCTAGCACTGGGGCCAGGGCCCTTGGTCTCACTAAGAGCTGCCCCCTCCTCAAGGCCTGTCCTGGTCAGGTCAGAGAAAGCTCAGGCTCAGACAGCAGGCAGGTCACCATCTGTTGTCTCTTCATGTTCCTTCATTCAGCAAATATTTGTATTGTCTGAGCTATGTGGGACACATGAAAAAGGAAGACACATAGCTCCTGCCCTAGCAGGGCTTCCAGCGCAGTACAAGTACAGCAGAATCACGCAGACAGAAGCACAGTGGGCTAACTGATGATAACTGATAATGCTGCGGCCACTTGTCTTGCCTTAGTTGTCCTAGTCGAGGGACAGCCCAGCCCACTCTAGGTCCTAAGGAGCTATGCCTGTCTCCAGGCCCAGTTGTGAGTCTTTAAAGGGTGGTCTAGAGGATTCTGGGACTTAACATCTGCAAATCACTCAGAACAGTGCATGACCTTTAGTAAGTGCTCAGTAAATGTGCTCTGCATATTAGGTATAAGGTAACCTGGTATTTTTCAAAACCTTAGTAACAAATCTCTACAGTTGTTTTGAAGTCTTATGTGTTCTGAGGTTTTATAACAGATATAACTGACATTTCACATAGAAATAAAAAGTTCTTTATACTTATTAAAATAGTTTCACAGTAGCAATGAAAATTTATACATAATTACTTTTATCCTACTTAAGGAATAATTACCTCTGCTAATGGGAACTATCATTATCTTAATCATCATTATTATCCTAATCTAAAGCATGTATTAAGAATTTGATTTTATGTTTTAGCTAAAGTAGCCTTTCTTCAAAGCAGGTTTGTTGCCCTGCCCTTAGAGTATTCATGGTCTAGGACAGTGGTCAGCATTACATCTGTCAGTCTCTTCAAGTTATCTACTATTAATGTGCCTCGCTGATTTTGTTTTATTGTAAATGGTTTTTGGTATTATGTATTCTAAGGTCTCCCATTTTAAACAGTATATGTAGAGAGCACATGATTAGTTGTATCATCTTCCTCTTCCTCTTCTTCTTCTTTTTTTTTTTTTTTTTTTTTTTTGGTATCAGGGATTGAACTCAGGACCTTGTGTCTACCAGGCAGGCGCTTGTGCTGCTGAGCTATAACCCTGGCCCATAGTGGTTAGCCTCAGAGTTGTTATTTCATATTTAGGTGACTTTTTTTTTTTTTTTTTTTTTTTGTGGTACTGGAGATTGAACTCAGGACCCTGCGCTTGCCAGGCAAGCACTTACTCTACTGAGCTATCTCCCCGGCCCTAGGTGATTTTTTTAAAGATTGTTTATTTTCATATTTTAAACTCATAGAAAAGTTGCCAGAACAATACAAAGAGCTCCCATATTCCTTGTACCCAGATACTCAGATTATTGGCTCTCTTCTCTATCTCTGCAATACAGGGATTGATTTTACTGCATGCTCTCTGTTCATTTGCCCATTATCATCTGTTTTGGAGCCTGTTTGTTTTGGAACCTTTTGAGCAGGCTGTACATGGTGTCCTCTCCCTCTAACTACTTTAGTTCCAGGCCCCTGTGTGCTGCAAAGCAGCAGATCAGCCTTGGTACCACACTGCCACCCAGGCAACAGGTCCCAGCCACATTTCACTCACTGTTCAAACAGTGCCATTTTTTTCCTTCTGAAATAAAATATTTAAAATTCACGGGGGGGCCTGCCCCTTAGCTCAGTTCTTTAAGTGGCTGCTTCAACAAAGCAGTCAGGCTCAGGTTGCTGTAGTTCAATTCCCACAACTCAAGCCAGCCAAACCTGCCCTGAAGGCATTTGGAGCAAAAAAAAAAAAAAATAAAATTCAGTATCTTGTGTGCTCTAGTACTCTGCTAAATCCACCACTACATAGGAGGAGATATATAGCACAGTGGTGTTCCTGCCACACATGGGGTACATCTCCATGTCAGGGCCTCTTCCAGTTCCTCAGCCAGAGAAGAGCCTCTCAGTTGCATCCACTCCCTTACGTCCTTGACAACTTTGGAGTATGATTTGCAGGTGACCCTTAACTTGGATCCACCCCGGGCCTCCTCATACCCAGTGTAAGCCAGGTGCTCTTGGCAGGAATGCCACAGAAATGGTTCCATGCTCTTCTCACCGTTTCCCTTTTCTTGCTGATGAGTGTTTCGGGAATGACAGCTGCTGTTCAGGCCTTGCTGTGGTGGTTAACGAACAGTGCTTGTCTGTCATTTTCTTTTATTCATATTGGTTAACACTCTATTATAAATGATAACTTTCCCCTCAGTTGCTACTGAGATGTCATTACTTCAAGACCTTTTCAGTAGAGAAAGACAGGACATGCTTCTGTTTATAGGTACTCACCTATGTATACATGAAATAGTACTTACAAGCTGTATTAGGTAAAGATGTAAAGCAAGACGCCCATTTTTCCTAATATACTGAGTTATTTGATCAGTTACTTGCTTCACCCTGTACCTCATTTCCCAACCGCACATCATCTCTCCTCCATCACCCGTCTTTTCCTCACTGCCTGCCTCCTCAGCTGCCACGCCCCTGGTACACCTGTGTGTAGCCCTCCTTCCTTCACATACCTCCCCATGACCTTGGCATCCAGACTGTCACAATCTCTAGTTGTAGCTCCCATACTAATTACTCTGTGTGGGTAGGAGAAAGGATAAGTAGTAGGGTAATCTGGACACCTTGCCAGAGACTTGTCTGAGGTGATCCAGGTGATGCTTTCTTTGGAAAACCAAAGCTTGCCTAGTAAAGTCTTCCATTCTCATTCTTATTTTCTCTTCTCTTCTCTTCTCTTCTCTTCTCTTCTCTTCTCTTCTCTTCTCTTCTCTTCTCTCTCCCCCCACCCTCTCCCTCCCTCTCCCCCTCTCTCTCCCTTCCTCCCCCTCTCTCCTCTCTCTTCTCTATCTCT